GTCATTAGTTGGTCGAGGAAGTGCTCGTTTAAGGATGCCGAAATATCATTTCTGGAAAGACCGGACCCAAATAATTTTGAAGTTTTGTTTGCGGACCTTCGATAAAAATAGTTGAGTAGCCCTGTTGTAGAATGTTCGAGGGGCGCGAATTTGACATCCCCTGGTCTACCATGCTGAGAATGCATCCATAATCTTCAACCCCGATTATCTAGTAAACAAATTCCGCATGCAGTATGTCCGGTTACCATTCCATGTCGGGTATGGGATTAGCTAGTTATTGGTTTCCAGAAGCATGGATTTGGTGGTGGAGGAAGAAATAACCGTCCAGTGGATACGTGAACCACCCTACGGCAGCGAGGAGTCCAGCAATCCTCTCGCACATAACCATCGCCGCATGGAATTCGAACCTGCGAACCCGCGAACCTGCGAACTAAGGCTAAGAAATGCGAATCCGGAAAGAAGTGAGGAGCTCAAAAGGAATGTGGAAAATCGAAAGCAAATGGACTAAAGGTCTCTAACTGATTCAAATAGCGAAACAAGCGACAAAAACGAAGGCGAGGAAACTATCAACTTTTCAAGCAACCAACGAACGAGAAGGAATGCGTGAATATGTCAACACGTTGTTGTAAGAAACGTCGGCATTGTGTCATCATAATTTCGGGACTAGCCCCGATGATTTAGTAAAAGAAACAGAAAACAAACGAGACAAACGCGGCGAGTGGAAGATAAAAGAGAGAATACGATATACAATGAGCAACCGGGGAAAAATCGGCGTCGGCCCGTCGACGTTCGGCGAAGGCTTTGCGAGCGAAAAATGAACCATGTCGGGAGAATATTGCTAGTGTAGACAGTCTGGTCAACCGATATTGAGGTATTTTACGAATATTTTTTATTATACCGAAAAAACAACCGGGGTATTGCCCCGGTTGGCCCTATTGACGCGCCGCCACTGATATATACTATATAGTGAAGTTTGCGGCATCGTAGCAACTCAACATAGCAGTGAAGAAGTTTATACATATATGTGAAGAAATTGCCACAAAACGTTTTTTTTTTTTTTTTTTTTTTTATTAATAAAAACATCACTTTTTATCCACAAAACGTTACACATTGTTTGCAATACAAGTTTTACTCTTATGGGGAATGTGATCACCAGAGCAGGAATTTGCATTTTTTGTTATTTTCTAGATATCTTCCATTGTATACGTGAGCAGTTTTGAGGATAGAATATTTTTTACATTTTTTTTTAATATTTTTAGCATGATAAACATGATCAAGATTTTTAATAATCGTTCACTGAAATTTTGATGAGCACGGTGTTTCCGATGACGTCATTCTCACTAAATCATGAGATTCTGTCAACGCGCAGTGCTCTGTGGGATACAGGGTTGCCATATTGGCTTTTTTAACGCCAAATTTGCCACTTTTCAAACGCGTTTGGCGTCAGAATTTCTGTTTGGCTTTTTGGCGTTTTTTTCAAATCTACTCTAGTGTCTATTATTAAAATCATATGAAATACAATATTTAGTGTGTAACAACGAACAATGGACCTTTGACTCAGCTACCATAATCGTATACGAACATTTGAAACATCTATCAGAGACGGAGGAGGTCGTTGGGATTCTATTACATTTAATTTTATCTACCTGAATTTTGCTGTCTTATTTCAAGCGCAACACTTATTTTACTCCATGTAAATTATCCACTGATTCAAGCAATTATTTGGCTTTTATCATTTTAAATTGTGTTATAAGCACTGCCCGATTTTGAATCGTGTCCATATTTTTTGTATAATCGTATTATTTCTATTTTATTTTTTGGTGGGTGGGCACGTACTTGTACGTTTTTTAACTTCATTTTAAGTTATGCTCGCCTTCCAGGTATCTCTGTATTTGTTGTCTGTTTACTTTTTTGTATTGTTCCGTTTTAGTCAGAGAGCCGAAATAAAATGATTGATTGATTGATTCCCCGACCTTTGACCTTTATTGTTTTTATTTTGGTCGCTCAGACCAATTACCAACTTTCATGACCTTTGACCGATGCTGCCAGCTACGTTTTTTGTGCTGCTTAGGGGGACACTCGTTGCGTAGCACGTTTCGTCAGGTTTATACTTGTGCGTTGCTTTGACTTGTTTAAATATATCGTTGTGTGTTAGCGTTTTTTCAACAGTCTTTTTCTCATTTATAGATTGAATACAGACTAGCTTGTAGGCTATATCTGTTATGCATTTGAGCTGCTCTGTTACACAGTCACACAAATCAGACGGAGCTACTTCAAAAGTGATGGTACTGGCAGACTAGATTTCCTCATTCAGTCATTGCACTGGAATACACCGAGCAGGATTTGCCTGATATTTGGGAGCTAAACTTTCCAGAGGAAAAGGATTACATACCTAAGAGCTATCTATGAAATGAAGTGCTTTGCAAAGTAAGAGTAATCGAAATAAAAATGTATTGTATATTGTAATGAACTGCAAAAGAATGTAACTATATGGAGGGAGAAACCAGCTATCAAGAACGGAAATTTCACCCTTGATTAGGTACCAATCATGTTTTAATAAGAAGATTACAATTGAAAATTAGGAAAAGGAATGATCCCCCAAGTTATTGGGACCAGGGTTGTCCAAAACGAATCGAATATTCGAAATTATTCGAATATCAAGGTATTCGAATACCTTTTCGGCTCATTTCCGAATAATTACGAATAGTAGTCACTTTTCGCCGTAAACACGGTGTTTCGTTTTACCGGAATCTTCAAACGACTTTTTACGCTTTCTCACGTATTGTAATGACGATGAAATAGAGTCGGCATTTTGATTGTTTATATTCAGCGCGAATGTACGTCGCATAGTGTTGCGACACATTTGCACATTTGCGTTGGTGGACATTGCCGACATTCGTCTTTTAATTCACAAAATCATTTCCATTAGTCGAAAAATCGACAATCACCGTATTTCCCGGCTAATAAGTCGCTTTTCTTGACCCAATTTTGGCTTGATTTTTTGGGGGGAGGGGCGCCTTATTGAGAAAGCCTGTTTATTTTATTTCTATGTGGCCTGCTTATTTTTCGCATTAGTCTTCTCAAGCATAATTTGTGTAAAACCTTATATTTGGTTCTTATGGGTCTGCCAATCATGATATTTAATCGTAGGCCGGTTATCGTTACTTAAAAGAGAAAACACGGCCCCCCGCCACCGAGATAAAGTAAGTGATTTATGACCCTTTGGTTTTGCCGATTCAGCAGAACACGACAGGGACAGGAAAACACAGCTGTGAAATAACCCGTGGAGGTACAGTGTGTTACTTATCACATTCCAAAATTATTTCAACATTCGGGTTAATAGGTTGTCCAAAATGATTGCCGTTTTACAACTTAAACAATTTTTCTACCCGTCTTATTGGAGGCCTGTATGGAAAAAAACCTTTTTTGAGTGCTAAAAATAGACATCCTCCTATTTGCCATGTGGACATATTAGCCCGGAAATACGGTATTTATAGCCGTCATTGTTACGATATCCAATAAATTGTCACAAGTTGGAAAAACAAGTCATTTATTAGAAAATAATTTCTGGCAAATATTTCTGATAATGATAGTTAAAAGTATCGATCCTTTAGCAGGATGATTTTTTGTTGCGCAAAATAATCCAATCCATGACTGGTACCAGCATTTAAAATGTCATGCCGTATTAATTTAATTCTGTTCAATGTAACTCATGGTTGTATCGACAATATGTGGACATAAAATGTGTGGTAAACTGACCGATAATATTAAATATTGATTTCTATTTTTATATTGACAAAATATTGAAAGTATTAATACCAAATACCACGGGTATTTGTGGACATGAAATACGTGGTAAACTGCCCAATTATAATTAATTTCGGATTCGTATTTACAAAATAATAAAACTATTATAATTCTAAAATGCAACGGCGATCTGTGGCCTTAAAATGTGTGGTAAACTGCCCGATTTACCAACATTTGAGTTATGATAATAGAATTAAATTAACACGGTCAGGCATTTTAAAAATATAATTAGTTTTTGATTCTTATTTTACGAAAAATTGTCACAAGACGGAAAAAGAATTTATACTTTATCCCACTCTTGGGAACTAATTTGGATAATGTTTGCCATTGGTTTGTATTTAAGAGTATGGACTTTTTACTAGGATGATTTTGTGTTACGCAAATATTCAAATCCATCATCGATACCACTATTGCCGTATTAATTTAATTCTGTTAACATGACTCTGGTATATAAAATATATACTGCAATAATCTGCAAATATGAAATGCCTGGTAATATAGCTAGGTTGTAACTTGTAGATAGCAGTTATTCCATTGCTTATTATATGGAAATTCTTACATACATTTAGATAAGCTTCAATTAGTGGATTTTATTTTCGAAGTATTCGAAATTTCATATTCGAAAAAAATAATTTCGAATGTATTCGAAATAGTGAACTATTCGATATTGGCCATCCCTGATTGGGACTCTGCATAAATGCCCTACTGGATGTGGAATTTGTTTAATAGATGATCGGGCTGAAGCCTGGATATCATTTGGATGCATTCTCAGCACGGTAGACCAGAGGATGTCAAACTCGCACCCCTCGAACACTCAACAATAATTATGATATTTTTTATTTTTATTAAAAATGAAATTTTACATAAGTTGATTTGTATAAATTGCAATAATGGTGATATGCAAGAAATTAATAAGTGAATGGCATTTGAAGTAGACTTAATTTTTTGAAGAAATATAAGTCTCAAATTTACAATGAATTGGGATCTGATCTTATTACACTGGCTTTAGTTGCAACAGCATTAATAAAAAAGAAACAATTTCTTTTTTCAAATTTGAACACAATAATATTTTGCTTAATTTAGAATTCCCAACATAAGTAGGTTCAAAATATATTGCAACAACATGAGAACACAATTCAACTTTCCCAACCAAGAATTGTGAGCAAGGGTACATTTTGTTTGAGCTCTTTTTGTGATTGTATAATCACCATCTGAAATATATTGAGAAAAACATACATGATGAATAAGGTGCAATGCAAATTTTTGAATATATTACCTATGTAGAACAGCGAACGAATCATGACTTGTATAAAATGGTGGCGATTTTGGGAATGAAAATGATAGCTTTTACAGTCGCGATGAATTGATTTTGCTTTATCAAATATGACATACCTCAATCACCCCGTTCTAAATTTTACATTACTCATGCAATCACCTTTAGACTTATAAGGCTTGAATATGTTTCTGTTCTCTGGATTTTTGATGGCCCGGCTGACATTTGTTAGTTGGTGGCAATAAGTTCACCGAGACTGTTTTTCCTATTTCACAGTCAGATTTAAACTGCATCATTTTCTCTTCTCACTTTCTAATCTCATATGTTGGATGTACATGGAGTATGAATTCTGCTTTCGCATTCGTACCTAAAAGTTATGTAATTTTATATTTATTCATCTTCTGCAAATAAAAAATATAGCTCGATTTGATGTTGCAAGTGACAATATTTAATAGTTGCCATTATACAGCAGAAGTTCAGCAAATTGATATGCTAAACCGTTCTTTTTTTCTCAAAACTACTGTCCTATTGTATTTCCCAGACTTTGTTTTATTTCATTCTAAAATTATATGTACCCTCCCTCCCCTTGTTGGACAATTTTTTCGAATGACTAATATTCTCTACCGTTACCTTTTTTTATTAGTTCAATTTTTGACTCATTTCAAATGTTGGTGTCGCAGACTTATGATGACCCTTTCTGTTTCTTGCGATGAAAGCCACCTGCTTTTAAATTGCGACTAAATCTGTTTCTGTATTGTATAAGCTGTGCCTTGAATTTGTGTATTATTTCCTGCATGACGAAATGAACGAAAATAAAAAAAAATTAATCACTGAATTTTCCCGCCTTATGTTTTTTTTCTCTCTCCCAAATGCTACGGTATATGAATATTTATATCACTCCGTTTTGTTGGTAATTTTTTGAATGACTAGGTTTCTCTTTGTATTCATCGCTTTCTTTAATTGCAATTTTTACTTTTGACTCGTCTTAAATCTAGGTGTCGCTGACTTATGAGGACCATTTCTGGTCCTTCGCGATTTCCTGTCAATTGCAATGAAATCTGTTACTGTAATGCCCAATTTTTTATCTGTTGTGAACTTGTGTTGTGATTTCTGGCACGACGAAATAAACGTATTGTCTATTGTCATAGTTCATGTTTTAATGTAAATAATATATAGGTTCAGATTTTAATATATAAAATCAAAAAGGCAACGAACATTATATATGTTAAACAGTAATGTCATATCAGTGTTTCAAACTTTGTGTCATTCCACCTTAATCGAAATATATACTATAATATATGATTGTTTAGAATCAACATTTTTTGTTATTTCATGATTGGAGTCTTTAGGCCCAATGCAATATTTGAAAGGTTTGTCATACTGTATTTTTGTGAGGTTTCCGATTACAACTTATATTCACCTTATGTAGTCAAGTCAGCAACAGCAAACAGACGTCTTTCAGCCTGTGATTTCGCTCCACAAATTTGCCATCAAGTTACAATTTCTTCTAATTTAGGTATGGACTATAATTTTAAAGGGCTTATATTACAATAATTTTCATAATTCGGACAAGGTTTTATTTTCGGGGAAACGCGGTAGTAAGCAGTGGCATTGACACAACTTGAAGAACTGGCGCGGCGTTGTGGCTCAACGGGCTTAGCGTTAGGAATACGCTCGCCACCGCACCTCTAATTACTCTGCGTGGGTTCGCAGGTTCGAATCCCATGCAGGGATGGTTATGTGCGAGAGGATTGCTGGACTCCTCGTCGTCGTTGGGTGGTTCACGTAACCGCTGGTCGGTTACGGCTTCCTCCGCCACCAAGTCCATGCTTCCGAAAACAAACAATATAACTAATCCCATACCCGACTTGGAATGGTAACCGGACGAGAGGCCGTGGTTCGCCATATGGATAAGCCGTCTTATCGGCTTTCTTCTCCCCGGGATAAATATGCAAATCCTATCTTACCTGTATGGCAGGTACCGGACTTCAGTGCTACCAGGTATTGCAGTATTGGTAGCCGGACATCCTATCTAATATAGTCAGCATAGTATATATAGTACGGTACCGTATTTTATACCTTCGAAAAAGATATTACGAGTTCCACCTGATCCAGTACACTCCAGGTGCAACATTGGCCCTCAACCAAGCAACAGCACAAACTCGCGAATGAAAAGCGAAACCGCCGCGTCCCCCAAGAGTGAGGTAAAAACAGTGTCTGGCAGCAGCTGTCACGCTCCGATGGTTCGTATGAAAGTCCGTAATGACATTAAACAACATGATGCGCAACTCCGGCATTTTTCGTATCCGATCGCACGCTCCAATGCACATACTTGACGAGACGAAAACGAGCGGATGATGGGTCTCATGTAGTTTCGTACCTAACATACTTCTAGTGGGCGTAGCATAACAATTTTTTCACGTGTCAATCCTAACCCCCACCTGACCACACCATCCAAAAATTACGTCACTACGACCACAGAGTGACGTAATAGAGCCCTTCAAACTATGCGAACTGTCATCCAAGACGCGCAGACGAGAACCCGAAATCGAACAGCCATTTCTCTCGTTTTCCCGTCGCAACGATCCCGATAGGAGAGAGATCGCTGACGTTAGTCAGTTCCTCATCGTCGGCGCCGATGCCATTTCGGGCGATCGTACGAGAAGTTGGCAAGCTCTATGACGTGATTGTGACGTCGTAGTGACGTAATTTTTGGACGGCGTAGTCAGGTGAGGGTTAGAATTGGCATGTCAAATTGTTATGCTACGCCTACTAGAAGTACTTTAGGTACGAAACTACACGAGACCCTGGATGTGTGCTGCTTCCAAGGCATAGTACGAATGGTGTTCGTGCCTGCTTTGAAATTTTTGTCGATTTTAATGATATTTTGGAAAATTGAAGGTAAAAAGAAATCGGAAAAAGGTAAGGTAAATACTATTGTTGTATATCACACCCGGGCATAGCACTGTTAAGTACATGTGGGAAAGCCAGCTTTTGTCAAATACTACGAAGTTATTAATTCAGTATGGTACGTTGTTGCCCATTTGCCGAAATTGCATATTTACTTACCCCGTATGGTTTCAAAAAGTTCATGCACCTCCATTTAGATTTTTTTTAATCAGTGAAGATATATACTCATTGCTGTAACATACCATTGCTCATTCACTTTTATTTGCGTATTGAATCAAAGGGTTAACAAATTCACCTAACATTTCACTCATACCGGTCTATATTGTATGGTCTGATCTCTCAAGTATTTGGAGCCACGAATGCTTGTAATTTTCTGACTAAAGCCTTTCATTAGTTGGTTTATATACCAAATTCAGTAAAACATTTTTACATTAAACATGAGATATTGGATTTATTAGCTTTTCCATTCTAAATCATATAGACTGCTTCATTTATTCTTAACGAAAATTAATAAATCTCCTCTCTTTCTTCAGATGTGAAAGTTGTGGACAAACCTGTCTAAGCATTGTAAGACTCCTGCAGCACAAGAGGCAATAGCAAAAATAGTAAGTATATAAATCAAGAAATTAAGCCGACATAAAGCAAAACTTTAAACTATTCGTCTAACTTCAATTTCCTATTATTTATTCACAGGACAACTGTAGTAGAAGGGGAGATATCAGAAGTCTGGCAACATATCAGTGACAGTGTGATTCCAAGAAATATAATTAGAATACTCCATAAATGTTTGCAATAGAAGAACGCCATGGAGGCATGCAAAGACATTTGACCCTCCGGTAGAGTTGTGTATGGCCCCTACATCCTGCAAGGCTTGAAGAAAATAACTAAAAATTCCAAAGCGTAAGATTATTTGTGAAAAGGCACAAAACATGCCAGGCATATTTAAAACAGCTTTGAAAAATGAGGATTACGGGTCACTAACTACACCTGTGTTATATTTGGTTCATCAACTTTTGGTAGTACTATAGAAGAAATTCAGGAAAGGGTATATTCATTATTCATGATAAAATACTGTTATATATTTTGGACAACTTCAATCTAGACCAGGGATGTCAAACTCGCGGCCCCAGAGAACTTCCAGTGCGGCCCTCGAACGCTTAACAATAATTGTAATAGTATTTTGGAAGTTTTTTTTATCTAAATGTAACAGATTTTTCAAACTTTTTAAAGTGAAATTGAATATTCACACAGAAAACAATTTACTGAAAGTAGTTTTGAAAAATTCTTTTTTTTTGTTCACATTTTGACCCATTTAAGAATACACATCAAGCTTGCAAAAGAATACTTGAATAAAACACTTGAGTGATTAAATTAAACGCAAAGTACATGAAGAAGGTGGCATTTTCGAAGAAAATGGGAGTTGCAATATTTCTGCATTGCACAAAATTCTCTGAAGCATATTGTTTAATTTGTCATATTTCCATCAGTACAATGAAAAAACACAATAAGCTCAGCAGTCAATATGACAAATTTGAAGACCAACTTCGAACAGAAAATTCCCATGTGTTTGTATGTTAATATAATTATACAACGACTTAGTTACTAAAAATCAATATCAATAATAATTCAAGCAATCCTATGCCATGCAATGTGACGCGAAATGTCTTGTCGAAAAAATCTGTCATTTGTTTTTTTACTGATCTATACATGAAATGATAAAAGTAACTTTTTTGCATTACTGGAATTAATTAAACATTCGCAAAGATCCAGATTAACCCATGATCATGTGACCTCGTTAGTTAGAGTTGGTACTATAAAATCATTTCAGCCTGGCCTTAGTATGCTGGTGACACAAAAAAGATGCCAAACGTCAGGACAAATGTAATTAAAAAAACATTGAGTTTATACTGTAGTATTTTTTGTTAATTTTAGGTCCATATATTTAGATTAAGTCATTTTTTTAGTGTATGTATTATTCTTTCCTTATCCAAAGCTTGTTCAAAAATGATTTTGATGGCTGTACATAGAATTTTATGATTTTTTGTAATAAATACAGTGCGATAATAGTGGAATGCAAATATTAATATGTAATTGCGTTTGAAATTAAAGAAAATAATAAAACTTAATCCAACATTTCCAACTGTTTTGTTACATCCCAATATATGTCACAAACTGAAACTATCTTGAAAATATCTTTCAAGTATACATTATCAAAAACTGTTTGCGGCCCTTTTCACAATTTCCAACATGCAATGCGGCTCTCGAAAACCCATGAGTTTGACACCACTGATCTATTCTAAACGATTAAAGCATTGCTTTGGGAAATAATATCACTTCAACTAAATTGAAAAAAATCTCGCTATATTAAATACAAAATCGTTGCTATCATAAAAGTAAACCAATTTAGCAACTCGGAATATATTGGCCTTCACAAAGCAATGGAGGCAAAATTGAGAGTTCATGAGCTATGAACTTTTGTTCTTTTCTTTGTCTTGAATTTTTCATATTCCACAGCCCCTATTAATTTTTTTTTTTAATTTTAATTACCATGTGATGGTCATACATATCTTTAACTTGTATTTACTGTCATGATGTATTATCTCAAAGTGTCAAACTTTTAATTAGTGTGCATAGTTTGCTTCCAGATGACATAAATGTATTGTCTTGTTTATTACCTCAGCTTGGAGTATTGACAAGAAAAAGGTGCCAGTAAATTACGTAAATTTTTTTTTAACTTTCTGTTATAATCAGAATTCACCACACCACAGTTACTACCAAGTGCAGGGCCAACTTCTGGTATCAGGAGCAGCTTGGTGTGACTTTGCAGTCCGCACAAAACATGATATTGCAATCACCAGGGTCAAACAATCATAACTCTCCAATATTAATATATTAATTTTACTTCTTTATTTTCCTTCTTTTTCTGGTAGGTAGTCGCGTACATTTTGAAATCTATTTCAAGTTATGCTCGACTTCCAGGTTTCTCCGCATTTTGTTTGTATGTTGACTTTTTGTGTTGTTTCATGCCAGAGAACCAAAATAAAATGATGATGATGCTTGATTAGATTTTTTTTCTGTCTGACAAAGCGCTGTCATTTTCATCGGCACTTGAGGTAGTTTCAACTAAAGAGTCTGAGGGCAGATCTGGTTGGATTC